ATCGAAGAAGTCTATATGCGGCAACCAAAGGGATTCGTAGACACTCAAAACCCAGACCACGTTTGCAAACTTCACAAATCAATATACGGGCTTCGTCAGTCACCGCGGCAATGGTTCCACAAACTTACCTCTTTTCTTCAAACTATCGGATTCAAATTCAGCAAGGCTGATCCCTCAATGCTTATTTTCTCTAAAAATACCGTCCATCTATTTGTCTTAATATACGTTGACGACATTTTAATTACAGGTAACGTCTCGAATCAAATTCAGATAGTCTTGCGTCGTCTACAACAAGCTTTCAAACTCAAACAACTTGGAGACATTGCGTTATTCTTGGGTATTCAGGTCATTAAAACTAATACTGGATATTTCTTAAGTCAATCTCACTATGCAAAAGAATTACTCTGTACTGCAGGTTTTACGGATTGTAAGCCAGCAGATACCCCTGCTCCTTCACGTCTGCCACTTGTCTTCGATGAACAACCCTATGCCGATCCACAGATGTTTCGGAAGCTGGCCGGATCTCTGCAATACCTATCCATCACACGTCCGGACATTGCATTTACCACAAATCGCATATGCCAGCATATGCATCAGCCACGCAATGGAGATTTTCAGGCTTTAAAGCGTCTCCTCTGCTACATCAAAGGCTCACTCAACTATGGCTTACCTATCAGTTGCGGATCAATGCAACTCAGCTCGTACACGGACGCTGATTGGGCGGCCAATACCACTGATCGGAAATCCATGTCCGGCTATTGCACGTACCTCGGCCACAATCTCATCTCGTGGTCTGTTAAGAAACAAACAACCGTCGCGCGCTCATCTACAGAAGCCGAGTATAGATCACTCGCCTCCGCCACATCTGATATCCTGTGGATTCGTCGGCTGGCCGATGAACTTGGTATCCCGTAGAGCACTCCGACGGTCATTCATTGCGATAATACCTCTACGATCGCACTCGCTAAAAATCGTGTTTTTCACGCGAGAACAAAGCACATCGAACTGGATTATCACTTCATTAGCAATCACATACGGAAGGGACATATATCCATAGCTCATATCTGCTTCGAGGATCAAATCGCGGATATCCTAACTAAATCTCTTCCGACAGATCGTTTTCAAACATTGAGATCCAAGCTAACCATCAGGTTACCCAACGGTTAACTTGAGGGGCGCTGTTAAGACAGCCAATAGGATTTAGGTAGTTTTATTACTTTCCACGTCAGCATGTACTTTCTTGGTCTTACCATGGCTTTCTCTGTCTTTATATACGTCATGTACTTTGTAATAACTAAGTGATAGATTAATACATTTTACTGTTGATCATCTTCCTCATCTTCTCTCCATCGCCATTCTCGTTCTCTCAACAAGAAGTAAGTTCTATTAGAAACTTTGTTACGTTAAACATTCATGTTTTTTCAAGAAGCTGAGTTAAAACTATTAGGAAACGATATGTTTTATTATTTTCAAAGCACATGCTATTTTCTTTAATATATTCCTCCACTGATTGAGATTGCTGAATGTTTAACTGAAAAATCACTATCACAATGCCACTAAACCATTGAAACTTCAGAGAAGTAATATGAAGATATCAACTTCAGAGAAGTAATATGAAGATATCTCTTCTGAACCTATATGTAAAATATGGCGCAGAGAAGAGGGAATGGAGGAATAAGTGTATTAAGCTAGTGGTAATTTTTTTATTTTTAAAAGAAAACAGAAGGCCATAAATTTGTCTATTGAAATCATATGTAACATATAAAGATTATATTTAAAACAAGATAGCATCTGAAATTTAGAGGCATCATTCATGACCAAGTATATCTTTCTATAATATAAAAAATTTAAGGAAATAACATTGAATTTTGGGCATTTGATTTTGTCACCAAATGAAAAGCATTTTAAATATGTATCTATAAATTTTCCTCTAATCATTTCCTTTTAATTTTAATAAGCTCCCTTATGCATACGAAACTATTTTAAAGCCACTCTTTTCTTTCAACACTCTTGACATTAGAATCTATAAGTATAGTAAGCTTTTACAGTTAGCTTAATATGCTTAATATTAGCTAGAAAAAACAAGAACAAAAGAAATCAATTACAAAAATTTTACATAGGCATACAAAAATTTATGTGGTTATGTAAGTTCACTAATAAACACAGCTACGAAGTGATCGAACAATCTACTAAAATTTAAGTTGTTACATGGGGATATTACACTTCATATAAAACTTATGATAAATATAAAGACATCTCTTTATCTATATCATTGAATAAGTGAGAATGAACTACATGTTGCGAAGATAAGTACTAGACATGGAGAAGATGTTATTTATATTTGTTGCGGGCTGGAACATTCACAACAGTAGAGAGATAAAAAGCTTATTGCCTTAGCTTTAAATGAAGATCCAGTATACAGGCAGATAAGAGAGAGGGGTATAAGAGTCATAAGAAACATTAGAAATTTTATGTGGGAAACCTTGAAAAGGGAAAAAATCGCAGGGCTTGACCTAGTTAAAATGATTATACTAGTGTTTATTGTTGATTACAAATGAGGCCCTTCCTTGGGGAAGGCATTGACTCCATGTAGAAAATATACATCATATAGAACACATTACATGGTGGGAGTGGGAAGAATCTAGGGATATGAGAGTTTTTTCTCAAAAGAGTGTTGGCCTATTCATTCAGTCAGTAGGACCGCGGGTGACGGTGGTCGGAGGGACAATTGTTGGCGGGCGACGGAGGTTGGAAGGGCTATAGTCGGGTAATCGTGGTCGCGGAGAGACTGTAGTCGGCGGGCGATGGAGATAGGAGGGAGACATAGGTAGGAGACGTAGGTCGGAGGGACCGTAGTCGGCTAGCGACAGAGGTTTGAGGGACTGTAGTCTGCGGACAATGGAGGTCGGAGGGATCGTAGTTCGCTGGCAAAGGAGGTTGGAGGGATCGTAGTTAGCAGACGACGGTAATCAAAGGTATCGTAGTCGGTGGGTGATGGTGGTCAAATTGACCATAGTAGACGGGCGAAAGTGGTCGGAGGGATCATATTTGATGAGTGACAGAGGTGGGAGGGAGAGTAGTCAGCGGGCGATGATGGTTAGAGGGATTATAGTCGGCAGACGACGATGTTTAGATGGACCGTAGTCGGTGGACGATGGAGGTCGGACAGATCATAGTCGGTGGGCGATGGTGGTCGAAGGGACTATAGTCGGCAGATGACGGAGGTCGGAGGGATCATATTCAGCTGGCGATGGAGGTCGGCAGGAACTTAATCCGCTAGCAATGGAGGTTGGAGGTGTAATAACCCAAACAATAAATTTTTTAGATGTCATTTTAGGTCAAATTTAAAATCTGTATTTCCCATAAAATAGGTATAATTGTTTTTTAATTACAATAT